ATGTAATCGAATTGAAAATGAAGATGCAAAACACATCAATTTTTACTACTTTTTTGGTTGCATAGTAATTTATTAATATATATTTTTTATTTCCAAAATGAAATTCTACACAAAATTGATACCTGGCAATGCTATAAAAGCATCAGCTTGGCGTGCCATCTCAGCTTTCCTTTGATGCATGTTCAACACTGGTTTAACTTCACCGATGGTTTCTCCGATGATCTGAACATATCGTATTTTTATTGTCTAATACAAAATAATAATAATAATAATAATAATAATAATAATAATAATAATAATAATAATAATAATAATTAACTAATGAACAAGAGACTTTACCTCTTTTGGCATCAACACTTTGGGTATCACCCTAAACATCAACAATAAACAAAAGCTTGAAATTTATACATGTAGATAAATTATGAATACGAAACAATTATCCATTGAAAGTAACAAATTCTATAAGAATGGAATTATCCACAAACCATAAACCATTTACATGTCAAGTCCCAATCATAAAAGTGGAATTATAAAAATCACCAATCAATCAGAAATAGGGTCTAATTGTCAAATTTTTTTTTTTTTCTAAAATAGATACAAATTCATAAGTTGCAAAATTAGAAACAATGACTAAACAAAAAACAAATTCGTATTCTATAGCTACAAAATTGACACAACGAAACGACAATACCAGTCCTTTTCCTCATACTTTGGAATATGCATGATTTTGAAAAATCACCAATAATTTAATTTGAAAATTTATGTTTCTGGTCATTTTTAGCAGAAAAAATCTACTACATTACAAAATATTAGTATTTTATAAAATATAAATGAATAAATTATTCCCCAAAAAATTAAAAATATTCTTGTTCTACAAATTCTTGGTATTCCACGAAAATAATAAATAAAAATAGAACCTGATTTTGTAAATTAATATAATTTCATGAAACTCGTTTTACAAGTAATTTTTACAAATTTATTATTTTATTTTCTGTCATGATCATGACCTATTTTAATATTTTAGTGATTATTCGTACCCTATGACATGGCAACCACCATCGAAAACGGCTTTAGAAACAAGACCCATCAACCCGATGCTTCCTCCACCGTATACCAAATCAATCCTCCTTTCAACCTGCAATTTCCAAATTATTTTAATTATAAAGTTTAATAAATTAATAATTATAGAAAAAAAAACTATTAAAGTTCTATAAAACACAAATGTTACCATTATTTTTAACAAGTCCAAAATTCATTGCTAACAAAATGTAAAGCCAAAATGACATCGGTTTGTATACCAAATGATGGAAAACTAGATGCATGGGTATGATCAGGGCTACAAACTAGCCGAGTCGAGTCTAAGCATAACCAGACTCATGTTTGGTTTGTTTAAAACAATAGTAAAATGATACAATTATCGTAAACACGGTTAGTCCGTTGATTTTGAAAGCCCTATGTGAATAGTAAAAATGGTCCCCTAAAATTTCAGATTAACGACAGATTAACAATGGATAACGGTGGATTAGTAACATATAACGATAGATAGCCACATATTATTGACGGATTAGTAATAGATTAGCAGCAGATGCCAAATAGTGACAAATTATCGTAAAAGTAAAATTTTGAGCCCTTTCACAAAACATGATCAGATCATACACCTGACACATCCTCAAGGTGATCGTGAACGAGTTGAAATTATATTCATGAAATTCTTTTTGATCTTTGTTTGAAAACCGCTGAATGTTCTTTCCTAGACTGTATGTCAAAAAGTATTGTATATTTTTTTATACAAAAGACAAGTTTTGTAATGGAATTTCTTTTGTAAGTATTTAAATAAATTAAACAAGGCCTTTAGCTTTATTGACTGAAGTAATTGATCCGTGTCCTTCTGTTTTTTTATATGTATATTAAATTATTGTTATATAAATAAATGAAAACATGTGAACCAAAGTTTACTTACGTGTTACAAATGAACTAGTAGCATTTATTTATTTATAAAAGATTATTATAAAGTAATTATAATATATGATATATGATTTGATATATTTAAGTTCAACCAGGCCACTAAAAATGAAACTTGTACTCACTTTTTACTTTTATATTAAATTGATCGTTATATGTCGGTTAATATGAAATTCATTACACCATGTAGACACATGACAAATAGTTGACCTAGTAATTAATTATCATACCGGCCGGGGTATGTTTAGGAAAATTAACTCAAAGCTAAAATTATAACTGTTATTTTTCTAAAATTATCCGGCAAAAAAATCGTAAAATTTTTGAAATGTGTAAATCAATATAAATATAACAGTTAAAAATTAATAGCTTTTAAACACTATTAACTTTTGAATTAGAAAATTTTCATTTAAAATAAAAGTTTTAAATTTATAATCTCAAATAAATCATCTTTTTTCTTTTTTAAATTTCAAGTTCTGTTTAAAAGCTGGTTGACGAACATATCGTTAATATTTTATAAGAAAATCATTTCCTTTCTTGATAAAAACGATCAAAGAAGCCATTGTAATTGGAAAACATGAATACAATGTCAAAATTTATAGATGTATACTTTTGCTTTCGTGAAAGATAAAAGACGGACTATATATAATCATTTTATATATTCATATAATTTTGTAAATATGAACCTTTGTACGATTATTTTGATATAAAATATCAAATACCATCGTTAGAAATTTATATATAGAGCCAATATAGACCATTTGTCGCTTTGCATGGGGTTCAAAAGTAGTGCATGTACTTCCATAAGGGTCATAGCCATTTATTAACTATCGCACACGTTGGTTTTCAATTATGTAATGATTTTTTCATTGCAAAAAATCCTTGTTTTCTAGTTAAAGTGAAAAATATATACTTCGGGTAATCCATTAAAAATATATAAAAAGAATAATAATAACAATGAAAGTATCATTTAAACAAAATTTTCCCTCAACAGAACAATTGTAATTCATTAAGAAGTTTTTCCGGTAGACATGTAATTTAATTTTCAAGACTCGATGATCAGCTGACTTTAATGCAACTGTATCTGTTAAGTTCTTGATGAAACTAAGTTAGAGTAAAACTCTGTATTAAAAGCATTTTCTTTAACGTTATAAGAAGAAGACACGTATGTACCAATTGGTTGCCGAGTTGGATGGCGGCATGGTGGTAGATGGGGTTCTTGCCGGAGCTACTTCCACAGAAGACACAGATCCGGTTAAATCTGGAGGGTTTGGTGGTGGCTACCATCGTTCCTCCGCCGTGTCTTGGAGGTTTATTACTTTCCATTTATGGAAAAGAAATCTCTATAAAATTTTGCGACTTTCTTGCAAGTGTAGAGAGATAAATAGAGAGATGTTTAGTGGTGGGAGAGATGGACTGTGTGTATATATTCTATTCCGTCCCAAACACCTGGCAACATCTCGTCATCTTATCATTTTTTTTATTTACAAAAAGACAACATGGGATCGCTTTCATATACAAAGTGAGAAACATGATTTAGTCTTTGCTATTGCATCATTGCTTCATGTGCTTTGCTTCCCATTTTCATCTCTAGTTAATTGTTTTCTTTACTTCCATTATATTAGGGGTTCTACAACTTTTTTAAAGGCTCTACAATTAAAAAACTTATTTTCGAATACAATTTTCGGTAAAAAGTTTTACCAATATATTTACATTAAATTTACATTTATTAGGACTCTGTGATGGTTTCCAATGGATTTGTGATGAATATGAGACAGATTTTAGACAGATTTTGAAGAATTCACATTAAATTATGCACTTGACGGTAAAATTTGAGGGGTTGTCCGTACCATAACGAGACACCAAGTAGGTCTGTCCTTGATCATATATATATATATATATATATATATATATATATATATATATATATATATATATATATATATA